CGCATTTTAAAAATGCGTTGCAGGAGGTAGCTCTAATTCTTAGACAATTCTTCCTTACCGTTATCCCAAACCTTCTTTCCTTTGCCCCATGTTAAAAATCAACTGGTCATACAGTCTGTCTGATGGCATAGAGTAGCAGAGGACTCTTTTGCAAACACTGGCCTCTCAGGTTTAACCATTTATGTTCTTATAAGTTTTGGAAGCTCTGTCTAGTTTCTGGACAGGGTATGGTGGGTTGATATAGTTCTTTGTCCCTGTGACTTGGGCAGGTTGTCTACGTGTTGATATAGCAGCTGGGCAGAAGCTCAGAGTCACTGTTGGGGCAGTGATCTTGTGGAGGTGTTTTTGCTTTGTGGTTTGTCTTTAAGTTATCATAGTCTTGATATGTTACTTAGGAACTTTACAATGCAAGTCTCTTTATTTTAGCATTTTAAAATTTATTTTAATGGACACATTGTAATTGTACATATTTATGGGGCACAGCCTGATGCTTTGATACAGGGTAGTTAGTGTGTCCATCTCCTCATGCATTTATCATTTCTTTGTGGCCAGAACATTCAAAAGCCTCTCCTCTAGCAATTGTGTAATACATAAACCTTAACTGTTAACCATAGCCACCCTGCAGTGCAATAGAATACCGGCCCTGGCTCTTCCTACCTAATGCAACACAAGCCTCTTAAGTGAAAAATCTTTGTTGCATTTGCTGGCTTTGATGTGGATGCTTTTTTTTTTTTCCAAGTTTTATGATGTTATGTATTTTTTTTTTTCTTGCCCGAAAAGTGAAGACATGGAATATAGGACTGAAGAGAATGTGGTTGTTTATGCTCTTTCAGCTTTTGTACTTGACATTGTGTATTTCTGAAATCTAGATTGTAAAGCAAAGGTCTATCTGAGCAGACACCGGTTGTTTCTTTATTTAAGCTATGGCTTCACTCTGGCCGAGTTATATATTTATGGCAGAAAAGAACTTACGGATTTTTAATGACAGCATGCTAAATAGATGGCTACTAAAACTAAATTTGCTTTTGTGCAACTCTTTTGAAAAAAGTGCTAAGAATGGGCAGAGAGAAAGAAGCTCCAATCTGCCATCAATAGGGAAAGGTGCGAACCGAACTGACGTGTGTTGTGATGAATTCCTCTTGGGGCTGCCCCTGAGGTTACATTGGCCAGAGCAAGTGGGAGCATCCTTTGAATGGAGTTAGCTGTAGGGAGTCACTGTTGAATGTGATTGGTAATGAACTGACGTGTGTTGTGATGAATTCCTCTTGGGGCTCCCCCTGAGGTTACATTGGCCAGAGAAAGTGGGAGCATCCTTTGAATGGAGTTAGCTGTAGGGAGTCACTGTTGAATGTGATTGGTAAGGCCACTCGACTCACCTTGTCACATTGCTACCTACAGTCATTGAAGTCAACAAGAGGGACATAGTCTTCCTGGTGGATGGCTCGTCCGCATTGGGACTGGAAAACTTCGTTGCTATCCGAGAATTCATTGCCAGAGTCATCCAGAGGCTGGAAATCGGACAGGATCTTGTTCAAGTGGCGGTAGCTCAGTACGCGGACACCGTGAAGCCCGAGTTCTATTTCAATAGCTACTCAAACAAAAAGGAGGTCATAACCGCTGTGCGGAGAATGAAACCGCTGGATCGCTCGGGCCTCTACACGGGCTCCGCTCTGGACTTCGTTCGGAACAACCTTTTCACTAGCTCGGCCGGCTACCGGGCCGCCGAGGGCGTCCCTAAGCTTTTGGTGCTGATCACAGGTGGGAAGTCCCTCGATGAGATCAGCCAGCCTGCGCAGGAGCTGAAGAGGAGCAGCATCATGGCCTTTGCCATGGGGAGCAAGGCCGCCGACCCCGCCGAGCTCAGCGAGATCGCCTTCGATTCCTCCCTGGTGTTCGTCCCCGCCGACTTCCAAACCGCCTCTCTGCAAGGCGTTCTCCCCAGCGTGCTGGCGCCCCTCAGGACCCTCTCCGGAACCCCTGAAGGTACGGTGGCGATAGCTGCAGACACACACGAGGGTGGTCTCCAGGCACAACCCCGAGAAACCAAATGATGTTTTATTCATGTTTACCTAAGACACAACTGTTCAATGAGGAAAACAAAAGCAGCAGGCAAGATTCATTTTAGGTTTCCTTTTAACCTGGGTTGAGAACTGTATGGTTTAAAAGGTTATATAATAAAACGTCATATGGTAAGAATTAGTATGGCTTAAAGTGTAGGACCTCGGGGCCACCTGTCTTTGAAGCTTCTGGCCAAGGACGTCCCGTCCCAGCTCTTACCCTCGTCAGGTTCCAGTGCTCCTCTGTTTCTCCTGGTGACTCCTGGTCAGCCTCCTTTCCCCACCACCAGGATGTCGCCTGGCTCCTTCCTTTCCTGAGCTGAAATTCTGCTTCTGAGCAGCCCCAGCCTGACCCATGCGGGACATGGTGTCCTTGGCGTTTAAGCCCTCTCCTCTCTCTGTAGGGGATTTCCTTCCATGGGAAAGCATATTGAATGGCTGGGTGTGAAGAGCAAACCCAGTGGTTCTTCAAATCCCCCATTTAATATGATTGTCAGCGAAAAGTTATTTTGCAAGACATTATAAATGCCCAAGAGCTTATTAATTGAATAAATACCACTTGCCATCCTCAGTGAAGAGAAGATGAATATCACGGGTCAGCTTTCCATCCCACAGACACGGTCACTGGCTGCACCGACGCACGCTTTGCTCCAGACTCTCTCTGGTCTTCTAAAAACCTCTCTCTTTCTCCTTTAAAAA